TGAGTTATATGTGTTTCAGGATCTTGATCAGGAGCCGGTGGTGAAACTTCTTACCTCAGATCCTGTGGAAATCAAAGATGATTACTTCAGTCAGCCTCTAGACGGGAGCGATTCCAGCCGCGGGGCCATGAACTTTCCCACCCCTGAGGTGCGCTACCTCATCAAAGAGATATCTGTCATCTGGCACCTGTATGGCGGGAAAGACTTTGGAGGTGCAACTTTCACACCCTCTCCTGCAAGAAGCCGGGGGTGAGCAAAACAACAAGTGACCGTGCACACACTGTATTACATGTGCTCAACAGACTTGTTTGATTCTACCCTTTTCTCTGCCTTGCAGGACTACACCCCATTGCTCCCCCTCTCAAACTCCAGTCAGACAGGCCAAGGCTTCAGGACGGGCCGGAGGCGGAAGAGGAAGGAACGCCGATGTCCTGATGGAGATACAACTCAGCAAAGTAAAGTTCCTCCTCGACTGGAATGAGCCTTAGTGGCTAATTACAGTGTCCTTATAGCATTTTCTTTTCCTGAGTGCCTGCATCTTATTATCACATTTCAATGAGGAGAGAAGAACGCTAAATCAACACATGCCCATAGTCTACTTACATATACCTTGCGTCATATCTTCACCGTTCACAATCTTGTCTTTGACTTTTTCCCTAGGTGAGATTTCAGCATGAGGTGTACCCACAGGCCCAGGTGGTTTCTGGGCCAGCGATGGATCAGCCAGTCTCTCGGCAGGTGTTTGTCGTGCAGGACTTGGAGATTCGAGACAGACTGGCTACCTCACAGATGAACAAGTTCCTCTATTTGTATTCCAGCAAAGAAATGCCTCGAAAAGCCCACTCTAACATGGTGAGGGATCCAACACACTCACATTAACACAGTCAAGTTGTGGCTTTGTGTAACGTCTTTCTTCTTTTGTCTCAGTTGACAGTGAAGGCGTTGCACATGTGTCCGGAGTCAGGCCAGGCTCCTCAGGAGTGCTGTTTGCGTGTTTCACTGATGCCTCTTCGCCTCAATATTGATCAGGTAAAATCTCATGCAGATGCGTATATTAAATGTAGGATAAGATATGGACCTTTATTTATTCATGTATCCCTGTATGTACCAGCATCTTCTGCAACATTAGGGTGAAAGTCTTGTTTTTTGTTTGTTTGAAGGATGCACTATTCTTCCTCAAGGACTTCTTCACCAGTCTTGCTACTGAAGTAGAGTTTTTCTCCCCGCCTGCTCAAGAAGGTCAAATCAATTCCCAAATACCTAAACTCAGACATTGAACAAAACCTTCACTTTGAAACACTGACTCATGATAATATTTGTTCTGCAGCTGTGTGTGTGACCACAAAGAAAGCGTCTGCCCCAGAGATCTCCTGCAGCTTCTCCAAGCAGGCGGGCAGCAGCCAGGACCCGGCCCCCATCATCTCAGTGCCTGCTCAGAGACGCATGAGCCACAACGGTTACTCCACATGTGGCAGGGAGGAAGTGACTGACGACGAAGCCTCCACTCCTTCCTTCCCAGACCAACCAATCTTCTTTAGGTCTGTGTTAAATAACCAAACAATGAAACCTCTGTAAAGAAAAAAAGGAATAGCTTGTTTCATGTATGCCAACGTTTTCTTTTCCTAACAGGGAGTTTCGATTTACCTCTGAGGTTCCCATTCGCTTGGATTACCATGGGAAACATGTAGCAATGGAGCAGGTAAATCATCTAAGAGGGTTTTGTATTAATATCACATTATTTAGCTTGTGCTTTGTGAATGATTTAAGGGCGTCTTTGTTTCAGGGAACATTTGCAGGGATCATTATCGGGTTGACGCAGCTTAATTGTTCAGAGCTGAAACTGCGGCGCTTGTGTTATAGACAAGGGTATGTTTATCTCAGTAATATCTCACACCCCATTGTGTTGCTTATTATTTAATATCATGAAAGTAGTAGACCTTATTAAAAGGTGTTGTACATACTCAGAACTAATACTCTTTCCCAGGAAATTAATCCTTTTCTAATATGGGTTTCAGATTATTAGGTGTAGATAAGCTGTTTTCCTATGCAATAAACGAGTGGCTTAATGACATAAAGAAGAATCAGCTTCCAGGACTCCTGGGGGGTGTGGGGCCCATTCACTCTCTGGTCCAGCTCGGTGAGTTATATACAGGGTATGAATCCAGTCACAGGCATTTGTGTTATCAAGTGAACCTACATTACACAATGTCCTTTAATGGTTATTGGATTGACTTCCGTTTGCATATCAAACCTAAAACAAACGAGCTATAGGCACAGTAACTACAGTCAAGCGCTAATGAGAGGAGATTTAAGTTTTTAGTTTAATTAGATTTGGTTACACGGTTAAAAAAATATATATTGTTAATCAATGATCAACATATAATATATATGCATTTGTCTTTTTACATTTGTATACATTTCCTCTGTTTTATACAATAATTAGAAATTATATAAATGATTACATTTTATGATATTTAAATAAACTCATATATTCACACATTGTGGCTCTGACACTTAGTCAACAATGACAAAACACTTAAATTAGGACAAGTGATATAATGAGCTAGACCTATTACTGCTTGTCTTTTTTGAACCCGTTTCAATTGCTATTCAATACAATCAGTTTATCGTTACCTCTTGTCAGCTTTTACAAATGTAAGCCATAACTGCAGAATATTTTATTCTCCAATATTTAAAAAAGGATAAAACCAGGGTTAATCAATGTCTTTGAAGCTTGGGCAAAGTGTAATTCATGATTTCCTTAGATAAGTGCAGTGAAAGTAATTTACAGTATATGAGCCTCCTACTTCTGGTGCGTCTCTTAGGTAATGTCTTCCCTGTCCTTAAGATGATTGTTCTGTTCAGTTCAGGGATTCAGGGACTTGGTCTGGCTCCCGATTGAGCAGTACAGGAAAGACGGTCGGATAGTCCGTGGGTTCCAGCGCGGCACGGCCTCCTTTGGAACTTCCACTGCTATGGCCGCTCTGGAGCTCACCAACAGGATGGTGCGCACAATCCAGGTAAAGACCCGTTTCCACCATTACTAAAAAAAAGTCTGGATTTACTACTAAAGTCATTACGATACATCTGACATTCTTGTGTTTTGTGTTGTTTTTAGGCCGCAGCAGAGACGGCCTATGACATGGTGTCCCCAGTGCCTGATGAGAGAGACACGAAGAGAATAAAACGCTTCTCCCATTACGGACTGGCTCATCAGCCGGTGGACCTGAGAGAAGGTGTAGCCAAAGCCTATACTGTCGTAAAAGAGGTAAACAAATCTAAAGATACCATGAGCAATATGTTCACTTCACTGGGCTACTTCATTCGTATGTGGTTATTTGCCCCAAGCTGTCATAAATTGAATCAAGCTTTAAGCCACATTTTTACAAAACACTATTTTGGTTAGATAAGGCAGCCCCTGATAACACCACCTAAACTGTAGGACTCGTAATTGGACGATGCTGACTGCAATGAAAGACTCAACGCCACCAAACTCCATCTTATGTTAGATTGAAAGACCCCTAGGTGCAGAAAATGGCATATTGAGAATGTAATTGAGAGAAACTGTTTTTAATGAGGAATTGGTGTTGTTTCTATCAACAGGGCATCACAGACACAGCCCTGACCATCTATGACACAGCCACCCGGGAGCATGAGCAGCGCGGCATGACCGGGGCAGTGGGGGGGGTTCTCCGCCAGCTGCCCCCAGCTGTGGTGAAGCCCCTCATCATGGCCACTGAAGCCACCTCCAATGTGTTGGGCGGAATGAGGAACCAGATTCACCCTGATGCACGCCAGGAGGAGTCTCAGAAATGGAGGCAGGGCGAGGAGTAACACTTATTGCCATATGGTACCTGAAACCATGACTGTGCAGAATAAATGTGTCGGAAACTTTCTTCAGAACGTTGTTTTGAATAGGAACATCTCAGAAGTGCTCATACAGCCCTGGTGTAAATAAAATACTGTTCATCTTGTGGCATTTTGAGCTACTGTGATTCAGCTTGTGTCAGCTTACCAGTTCCCTCACAGTGCCTTCATGGTTATCAGCATTGTCTAACTGTACGTTTAATCAAAGGGATGGATGAAGATTGATGGATTTGTAAGCCACACATCGTCTTTATGTGGAAAATGTTCTGCTGGGGGATAGATAATGGCATTATAAATACTAAATCATAACAATGAAGACAAATAGGCTATTGTCTCATGAGGTGCAACATCGGCTTCATTCTCAAGCAGCTTTGTTTACAATTTGTGTATGGGGGTTGGTGTCAACAAACATAAATATAGGTGTAATGACCCTTAATTAATTTAACTTTGTTATTTACTGTAAATATCCCCCTAATGTGTAACATTTCATGCAAACTGAATGTGTTACAGCTGTGTAAAGTTCTGTTGTCAGCACTTTTATGTGACTAAGGTTAACTCGCTTATATTAATGACAGGTGGGAGGAGTACCCTAACTTGTTATAAAGTTTCACCATTTTCTTTTGAGCTGTGATCAAAGTTGTGGGATTTTCACAATAAGCTGCTGTTATAAAAAGCTGCTTTAAAATTTAAAAATAGTTTCTAATGTTGTGTGTGTCATTCTGACACTCACATTTTCAAAACCATGAAGCAAAGTCTTAATATCCTGCACAATTGTTTTTTTCTGTATATTTGACTGATGATACTGATGATGACTGATTGTGAAATGTTGTGTTGCAGGCTTTTGATTTGCCTATTTTCTTCTTTATGTGGCCAGGATAATATTTCATGTACATAAGTGTACAGTTCAATTTGTATTAAAAGCATGAAAGTGAAATAAAAACGATTAGATTAAGAAGAGTAGTGGTTGGGTAGCTATGATATTTACATTTCATAACTAAATGTAATTGAGTTGAACGTTTCTATATCTTATGCTGAAACATTTACAATATTTGATCAGATGTAGGAACAAAAGGTTTTATTCAAATTGCCATGATTTTCTATTACTTTTTTATTCGATGTAGGCCTACGTGTCTTTTTGTGATTCGCAGTAGAGCAGCACGCAGCGTTTGTCACGAACAGTTTTATTTTGAAATATAGGACGTTACATCGGAAGTTGTCTTTTTGCCATGGAAACAGGAGGACAAAGAATATGTTGAGTATATCGTAAGGTTTATAACCGTTTACTGTGACACTTTATAGTGATGGAGGACGACTTATTAGCTGATGTGAGAAGTTTTTCTTTCGAGAATCCACTCACTGAGGATGAGAAAGAGTTACTTTACCTTCGTGCACGCTCGGCTGGACTGACGTTTTGCGGGTGCGCGCACGCATCTTTCCTATGTAAACTGGTTCACTCATTGAGGTAAATGATATGTAGGCCTAGAGTTAATCAAAACACAGACAGGAAACTTCACTATTATTTTCCCCACTGCTATATGTTTATCTTTTAAGTTATTCTGATTGATTTACGTTTACATTTACAGATGTCTCATCAAAAGCCGCAGAGCAAACAGAGACTCATTGGTACCAGGAGAAGACAGCGACCTCTGCGTTGGGATCATTGGGATGGGTCACATGGGGAGACAGTTGCTCACCTCCCTCCTTGAAAAGTCTGGCATCAAACCATCACAGATTAAGATCTCCAGTAGAACACCAGACTCTGCAGGTACATTGGCAAAATAAGAAACTAACTGGACTCGAAAGACCATAGATATACCTTACATTTAAAAACACTAAAATCCCATACAAATAAGTGTCTTCTTACTTCTCTGATGTAGGAATACAATGTGATATTGGGTCACATTACATTGAAGCCGTTGAACATTAATTAGACTTTCCAATAAAGAATTTGCTGAATTTTCATTTATTAATCATATAAAAATATATTTAACATAAAAAAACATTACATGAAAGCTATTGAAAAAAATTAAAAAGAGCAGAATTCCCTTAGAAAATATTCATAAATGATAGAAGAAGCACTTGGATCCAATAAACAGAGGTGTCTTTTATCTGTCAAATGTAGAATCTATTCCATTCTCGTCTTATATACTCTAAATCCTGTCCATGTTTGCCTTGCTGCTTCCCTATTTCAGTGGAATTTATCCAGAAAGGAGTTGAATGTGTATTTGACAATCGCAGACTGGCAGCGTGGGCAGATGTTCTGTTCCTCTGCTCTCTGCCGTCTCACCTCCCCAAAGTCTGTGCTGATCTCCACTCTCACCTGTCAAAGAGCTGCCTTGTGTACAGCTTCACTTCTGCTGTGCCTGTCAACAGGTACTCACACACTCAAACACATACAGCATTGTGGATTTTCAGTCATTGGTATTCAGTTCCTTTTGATCTTGTATCCCAGATTGGCACAGCTTCTAGGACACGACTTCATTCTCAAACCACAGTATGACTTTGTCGCCTGTGACACTGCAGATGTGGTGCTAACCTGCACTCATCTGACCACGGCTTTGACAGATCATTTGCTTATAAAGGCATCGTGTCCTCTTACAATGAGCAGTATGTATTTCATTATTGCAGACTTTGCAGTTTCTGTTCAGAGCTTGTGTAATGTTATATAAAATAAAAGAGAAAGCCTCTCAAATGTGGTGCAGTGATGCATCACACTTGATTTGAAGTATAACTGCCTAAGCTGACTTGTAATTCCTATTTTTAGGTGGCATTTATCTTGGTCTGAGCTGGGTGTGTGCAGTATTGTACAGCCTGCTAAATATCTGCACCTCTACCAGTCTGGGATCCAGTGATGCTCTCTCTCTTATCAACAGAATCCTGAAAGAGAAATGGCCACTCGCTGTGGATTTAAACACACACAGTTACATCAGTGCATCATCTACCCTGCTTACAGAGGAGTGAGTGTAACACTATATCGCTCTATAATATATTTCTGTCTTGTTTAACTTAGTCATGTCATTCCTGATTGGACTCCTTTTTCCTCACAAAGACCTTTTCCCTGGATTTCTCTCGCTGATGCCCAGACCAAGGAGACACCATTGCTGTGCTTTCTATCAAGCAGCACATATATGTAACAGTGCATCTCTGAGACACCTGCAAAATAAGACAATTAGCCTACACTCTTATGTAAAACTTAACAGTTTCTTATTTAAGGATGTCCACTCAAAGTAAATGTTGTTCCTTATGTTGCATATGTTGTTTGGCACATTATAACAAGATATAAAGTGATTATTTAACTATAAAAAGCCTCAATAGTATTTTTCTGTATTTGTATGTCGTTCATAATGAATATGATTCATATATTAAATCAATACATTTGCATCTACACCATGCAGCAGTAGTTGGTATCTTCTGGCATACTACCAAAATATAATTGAACTTATTGAACATTATCTGTTTTTTGACAAAAATATATTGTACAAAAAATATGTTAAACAGCGCAGCAAACCTACAGAATCCACATGGGATACAGCTGGGCATAAGTATAACACAAATACAGTTACATAAATAAAATGTATACACAGATACAAACATATTCACTCAGATGTTTCAGGGGGGCGCTTTCTATAATGTTCCATAAGCAGATGTGTTCAACAGCCTTGGATGTCGATGCTCAGACTCGCAGTTTCGTCAACGTTCGAGAAAAGGCGGAAGTGTCAACATTTCAGGGTCTGTTTTTTCCTGACAAGCAACAGCACACTGGAGAGACCCGTCACATGATTGCAGTGATATGGAGGCGCATTTCCTGATGGCCTGATTCGGACCTAAGTAAAACGGGGTCGAGTTTTCATACCATCAGCGTGACATCGTGGTAAGTCTGTGCCCGGTGTGACCGCAGCTTCCTCGGCTGCACTTTCTCTGCCCGCTCGGTAGCGTTAGCTGATGTGAGCTAACCAGCTAGCCTCCTAGCTAATGCCAGTTTTAATAATGAAGCTCGGGAGAAAAAACCAACATAAACATAACAGCTCTTTTATATGTCTTTAACTATAATTTGGTTTATATGTTTCATATAATGTCAAACAGTAGTTAGTGTATGTAGCCAGCGTTATGTTAGGAGAGGTTAGTTTGAGTGTTTTCATCTTTTCCTCGCTGCCTCTGGTTGGAAGGGGCGGGGTTTTCTCTTTTTCAGCCACGCAGACTGAGGTGTTTGTCTTGTCTTTACAGCCATGGAGGGATTAGAAGCCACATCAGAGCTCCAGTCGCGGCTGTCATCCCTCTCCTTCTCGTCTTTCCCCGGGGTAACATCCAAGCAGAGCGACACCAGACCGCTGGACAGGTAGCCTGTTGCTGCAGAAAGTGCTGCTTATAGAGCTGCTGCTGTAAGGAAACGCGTTGCTAGTTATACTTCTTGAAGCCTAAGATCTTCACTGTTTAAATATTGTAATGTTTTTTTCTGTTATCTTTTCAGGCTCCAGAACACAGACCTTTCACAGAGCTGCACCGAATCCAAAAACCAAGCTGAAATGGATGAAAACAAGGAGGATTCAGTGCAACATTCTGAGGTATTTATTGTTTAATATGTCAGAAGAGGGGAGAGTGCATTATAATGTAATTTCTCAGCTATAACATTAGTCTTTTGTGTATGCCTTTTTCAGAGTAATGAAGAGGCCCCAGCAGAGCGGGCCCCGGGGGAAGGAGATGAGGAGAACAACAGTGCTGGGAGCTGTCAGCTCTCCGCTGAGATGAAAGGTGAGGACCTGCAGAGCAAGCCATCATGACTGCTGCCGTGCTTTGTCTATCATTTGGATTTAATTTGATTTTATAAATCAAGTTACAAATTACATTTGTTCTTTGAAGAAATGAAGCCTTATGAACATGAACCTACTTTGAAAATCAAATTACAATTAAAAAAAGACTTATCTAATCAGGATAAGTAATTATCAGAGTTGTTTATGGCCATGTTTTCCTCCTGATGGCAGCCCAGATGCCACCCCTGAAACCCCCAACTACGTGGACATCTGCTGCACTAAAGGAGCTGAAGGCAAAGCTTCGAACGGAGGATGACAGCGTGGTGACAGTGTACCGAGGCGACATCATGACCGTTCACGTGCCCACTGTCCCTGAAGCCAAAAAAGTATGCTGGGAGTTTGCCACAGATGGTTATGACATTGGCTTCGGTATATATTTCGACTGGAGTCCTGTCACAAGCCGCTCTATCACTGTGCACATCAGCGAGTCAAGTGATGATGAAGAAGAAGAGGAGGAGCTTGAAGGTCAGTTAAATTCAGAATGATGAGCCTATAAAACATATCATTCATTTTTCTCCTACAAAACACACCATAATAGGGTTGTAATATGTTTTCCTGCAGCTGGGTGTGTTGACTTTGTGTGTTTATGTGATTCCTGTTGCAGCACCCGTCGGTAACGGAGATGTTGAGAAAGGCTCCAAAACTCAAACCAACTCTAACCTGGCTGAAGTCTTACCTGTATATCGCCAGGACAGTCACGTATCTGTCCAGGGGGGGAGCCACGATTTTCCAGGTGAAGGCACTTACCTCCTGAAGTTTGACAACTCCTACTCACTATGGCGAAATAAAACCCTCTACTACAGAGTTTATTACAGTGCATAAGATGCAAGTTTATGAATGTATAATTTACAATCAAATACTACTCTTAGGATCGATGAACTATTTTTGATTCCAATGTTGGGGAACAAGATGAAGTTATAATATAGCAAAAGATAAAATATAAGTATATCTATTTTTATCACTTTCAGCTTGTGTTGCCACATGTTGAATTTATGATCAGATAGTTTTGAATGCAATATTTGAAGAAGCCTTGCATATCATGTGCCATCTTCCCGTGTATGCACTGTGTTATTTAGTGCCGTCATAAAACATATATTGTCTTCAGCTGTAACATTTCTATGGTAGCAGTGATCAGGGAACACCTGCACAGAATATATTTCACAAAGACAGGTGCTTAATCAGCAGTGCTCTAAAATGGGTTTTTGTTGCCTGTGTGTTGCTTTGTTGTTACATGCATTTATCCTTCTGCTTTGTATCGTAATTTATTTGTACGTGTTTTATTTAATCACGTGAAAATGAGGAATATTATGATATAGTACAAATCTGTGCACGGAACCGTCTACTGTGTGGAGTAAAATATATAAGTTGAATGTACTGAAGCAAGTGGTAACTGTTTTACAGAGTGTGCTTTTTATGACACAAATAAAAGCCATCCTTATCACATAAAGCTCTTTATTATGTAATATAGATTCAATATTTACATTTGACTCCCTTATATTTGCTGTTTTGGAGGTAGGGAGAAGTTGTAGTACTTCTTCTTACTGTATTTTGTCCACGGTTCTTTGTAAGAAAATGTGAAAGTGTTTTTTTTTGCCTACTTTAGAATGATTATGTTGCTTTGTTCCAATTTGATGCTTCTTCCACACTCACTTGTGCGTCATGTTCCCAAAGATGGCACAGATCTGGCTGCTAATGGAGTGACTTTGTAAAGCAACCGGTTTAAAGCTTTCCATGTTTGCTTATTCAACCTGTACTGTAAGTTAAGGTCACATTTGTTCCTAAAAATGTATATTCCACAATAAAGAGAAAATTACGATTTTCTTTGTGCTTCATTTGGGGATTGGATCAATTATATGAACACTGTGATAAGTAACTCATAGTTTGGAAACTGAAGAGTGTGTGTGTGTGTGTCCTGACTGAGACGCCACGTTTCATAACATTCTCATTGCTGAGCCAAGATTAGAAAGCCCTTCAGGTGGGTCCCTTGTGTTTTCATTAAATTGTGTCATTAGGGGTTCAATATAATTGTTACAGATGTGCTGATGAAACCAGGTTTTATTTTCAGCTTTCCCCAAAGGCCTCTCAGAACCAGAATGATATCAAGTGTCCCTCGTGTTTTGCTGAATTCAAAGAAAGCAGTAGGATAAAGAGTATTTATTTCTTAATTCAAGTATAATTCAAATTACAAGTCTTTGATGATGACTGTTTATTTGATGGAGACATGCAGTAAGTGGTTGTATGTACTGATAAATATTTTTTGAAGACGTGTTTTTTCCATACACTTTCCTAAGGAATACATATATTTTCTGCACTAATGCTGCCAGCAAATCTAGTTATGTTATGTTAAATGCTGTTGTTTTAGGCTGCAGTTTGTGGTGTTGTTACATTGACCTGTATTATAATGAAGGTGCGTTCCGATAATCCAAAAATCAGCTCCTAAATTCTAACCCTATCTCCTATTCCTTGACCTCTGAGTGAAACGTCACGAGGTTAAGGGATAGTGGATAGGAGAATTAAAAAGGATTTAGGAGAAGAGACTGCGGTGCTTAGAGAATCCGAATACACTTTCACTATCCGACGTGTTTATGATGCGCCAGCGGACGTCATGAATGTGCGTCTGCTGCTGTGGGGAAACTATGGAAACTACAGTTTTCTATACAGCGGACTACAACATTAATGTTTAATAAGAAGGAGGGACTACTGTAAACTCATCTAGAGACTCTGCACCGTGCTCTGATGCTGTTGCTTTATGCTTTATGAACGTGGACAACAGAGAAACATATTCTTCATGACCAAAGTTGGAATTGAAATAAAAAAGGAAAGTGAAACTTATGCTCGTCACCCTCTCCCTCCGGTCCACATTAATACAAATGATCCCAATACGTATGATTGTATGAACTATTAAAAGATCTTAAAAATAAATACAAATGTATTTATTATAAACGTTAGTCCTTAACATCTATCACTGTGTATATCACCATTCAAACATCTTTTAAAAGTTGAACAAACCCCACACAGCTCAGTAAAGACTGTGAAATGTTGACTTTATTTGATCATTTCAGTAAAAACTAACGTTCATATTTCTCTTTTTGATTATAATACTGATGAACATTCAAAACAAAGCACTTTGGCAATTTACCACATACGTTTTAAAATGCGTAATAAGCACCGTAACTTTCATGATAAAAAAAATGGCTGCCAGTGACGTACTTCCGGGTCATTTCACTCCGTTAGGAAGGTTCCTAAACTAAATGGACTATTGGAATGTAACCCTATATGAGGGAGGCAGAATAATAAGAAACAAATTCCACCCTAACCAGTAGAAAAAAAACCCTAACAAGTAAAACATATACTAACAACTTAGTAAACACTTAAAACATTGTAATGTTGTGTTAACATAAATATAACTTTATACTGCTTTATTTAACACCAATCATTACAAATGTGAATGAAACCTAAAACACAGCTCAATGACAATGCAAGCTCATTAAAAAAATATCTCTTTGTACGGTGAACCATTACAAGCATATTCCTCTACAAAAATAGCTGTAATCTGTTTTTTCCTCAGATAAATATAAGGCTATTTTAGTGTGTCCTTTCTTTAATTCCAGTTAGCCCCATTTCCACTTCATCAGCCAATACAGGTGAGGCAATACTTTACTCACTGAAAACATGTTTTTTAAGCTTTTTAATTCATTATTGCATAGTGTTCAGAGACACAGCGGAACTTCGCAGGTGTTAATTAATACATTAATTGGCCTACTGTCTCAGCTGTTCGTCTTCACAACGCCCCTCAGCCAATCAGAAGTGATTACCGATGCTTCAGGTCGCACCAAACTTTTCAGTATCTACTGCAGTGCTCTGAAGGTATCTGAAACAACATGGGGAGGCTGAGTTTTTATGTGCTTTGTTCCCTGCGTGACGCTCCCCGTCAGTTCATCAGGTAGGCCTTTTTGGAAACCCTTCATACAGCAGTTTACACGCCTAAAACCCCAATTCTAACATGTCGTCGCGTGTCTCGCCCTCCGCAGGAAATCCAACCGAAGTTGCTTTCAGGTCCACATCCCACTGCCTCTCCCCAAACATCTGGTCATCTTCGGTCTTGGAGAATGGAAAAGCAGCGAGACCACAATCTCGGTAGATGTTCTGGTCAGTGCAGAAGTACCAGCCCAGAAGATTGGGACTTTGTCTCCCAAAGAGAGGTTTGTGGAGAGCAAGTCTACATCTTAATATTAGTCTTTATACAGTCTAAATGTGTAAAAAATGTACTTTGAACTCAGGTGCCTGATCTGGGAGGGGGACTGGAGCCCTGACATTGTCACAGTCGCAGCAGCGAGAGGCAGGAGAGGAGTTTATGGCAAGATTGTGCTCACGGTGTGTGGAGAGGTAAGTAATAACTGTCACCAGTTCATGTTAAGATTTTAAAAAACACAATTAATATTTTTAAGTGCAGGAAGGAATCAAAATAGTTTACTGAAGTAAGCATAAGAATACTCCACTACAAGTAAAAAAAACTTGCATTTAAAACCTCACTAATATAAAAATATGCAAGTGTTATCAGCAACATGTTTAAATAGAAAATGTTGATAGGGTTGTAAAATGGTCCCAATGTTTTACAATTATATAATTTTTTTAGATTAATGATTCTGCTGTGTCATTGTGTGTTGTGCATTTTACTGCTGTAGATCTTTATGGTCGGGTCTATTTTTTAACTGTTTTTTAATACTGTCAGCTAGTTTAAGCTTTGTGATGAATCATCTTTGATCCAAGTGTTTTGAAATGCTATATTTAACTTATAAAGCAGGATCATTTTATCTCCCAATTTAATGTTTCCTTAAAATGATCACAAAAACATCTGAAGATGTGGTTTTCACTGAACAGAAAAGGGATAAAAACTGTTATATTTTTAAAGTAACTACAGCTGTCAGATAAATGTAGTGGAGTCAAAAGAACAATGTTTACCTCTAAAATGTAGTAAAGTACAAGTTGCCTAAAATGGAGTTCAGCCCTGAGCCTGTTTTTCAGGCCTCAGGCTCGAAAATGACATTCCCAGAACAATTGACTATATCTTCACTTCTAAAAGGGGTACATTAAAAGTCAGAATCAATATAGAATTTTTTTATTTTAAAGTATTGAACATAGTAAAAAAAGGTACATTTTATAGTGAAAACCACCCTTGAATGATGGGATAGTAGACTAAAAGCTTTAGGAATCCAAACTATAACATATAAGTACCCTGTATCAAGATTGATGCAAAATAAGTGACATTTTAGATTTAGAAGAAAAAAACCCCACTTCTGGGGTCATTTGGGTGCATTTTCCATATCTCTGGCCCCCTCGGTCGATGTTGATTGACACCTCTTTTTAATCGTTGGAGCCAATAGAATCGAGGGGAAGTTCCTCAAATCCATCTAAACATTACCCATTGGTGAATGAGTGATGCGTAGCCAGAATGCCCAATACCGGAAGCTGTCATACACTCGAGAGAGGCGAAGTCCCGCCCATCTGCTTCCGACCCATGGGACCTTATTTCGGAAAAAATTATGTATTGAAGTCAATGGGGAGAGAAAGATTATCTTCCGATCCCGTTTGAATTTGTTGTTACGAATTACACATATGATGTTTGTCAATCTTAAAAAATAATTTCCATGTCAAAAAAGTCACAGTTTGTCGTAAAACTGTTGAAATATAAGACTATGAAAAATATGCAACTAGAAATACTACAAATCCCGGTCCCGCATGCTGGCTCTTACGGAACCGACTAACTCCCCTTTAGTGTATGTACAGCTCTCAACATGCCCAGACTTGTAGTGATTTTCACCTCTTTTAATACTTTTCGCCTCATTCTGATATTTTTTTTACTTGCAAAATTATCTTTTTAAATTGACAAACATCGTGTAATTCGTGGCACAATTCAAACGGGATCGAAAGATAATCTTTCTCTCGCCATTGACTTCAATACATACTTTTTCCGAAATAAGGTCCCATGGAGGTCCCCCGGAAAGGGAGGGACTACGACTCTCTATAGTAGCAGCTAATAGAGAGGCGAAGTCCCTCCCTTTCCGGTGGGCCTCCATGGGACCTTATTTCAGAAAAATGCCTGGGGGCATGGGGCTTAACTGGTTAAATGTACTTTGTTACTCTACCATCTAAAACATACTGTTTATACCTGACTGATACCAACACTATTGGTTGAAGATACATTTTCTAGAGATGGATATGCTTCATTTACTTCCTGGGTTATTATGAGATTGTTTTTTTCTTATTCCTCCTAAGACTTGTGACCAGCCCCAGGATAAATCCAGCGCCTTCAGCAGCACTGGTCTGGCTCAAAGGACATTTAGAATGCCAGAACAGCACGATACCACTGATCTCTCTTGCACGTTACCCCAAAATGCAGGAAATGAAACGGTGAGATAATATGCTCACAATTGTTTTTGCCGTAATCTACTTGTTTCTTACAATATATCATTATTGTTCCTGCCTTGCAGATAACTACCAACTCGTCACAATTGTTGGCGGATAGTGTTTGCTCTGATGCTGACATTCAAGTTAATAGAATTAACACCAGTGAGTCCACTATTGAAGATACACCCAGAGTTTGGCCTACGGTAAGTCTTGGTCAAGAGTATTTCAATATCTGCATGCAAGATGAGTGACTTAATCTGTGATGTAGGATAAGACACCCAGACGGACAGTTATCAGTAAGAGAGGCCACCTGACATGGAGCACTGAGGACACGGAGAGCCTTGCGGAGGACGCAGACCAGCCTTCATCCCCAAAGAAAATCAGGCAGTCCAGGATGAACAGCACGGAGGAAATGACGGTGCAGATAAAGAATGACAACAGAGAAGGTCAGAAAACGTAACAGTCACATTTTAATGCAAAGAATGGATTTTGACGGAGCTTGTGATTTTAGCTTCAGTGTGTCCATCAATGCGCTGGAGCCATACGATGTGTCTGAGCGACCCTGACACAGCCATCCTCATCGGAGGGGAGACAGCAGGTCAAAACCACTGCAAGGACTCCCTGTGGAAACTGGAGTTAGGTCAGTGGAGTTTTGTTAATTACCCGTTTGTTTTTTTATTGCTTACTATATGCAGAGGACGAATGAAGATAAAATGGAAAGCCATAAAGTCCTTGTTGACCTCTTTCCAGACAGTGACTTCTGGTTCCCCATTAACTCCTCCTCCTCTGGATCCGTGCCACTATGTGCCCGAGGACACTCTGCGACATACGACCCAGACTCCAAGTCAGTGTTTGTTTACGGTGGTCTGAGGGAGGGTCAGCGCTACAATGAGCTCTACATCCTTAACACTCTGACCTGGACGTGGAGGCTTGTCACTGTGGGTTTGTTGCAAGTTGCAGTCTGATATTCAGTCAAATACTCAAGCAGATGTATAGTTGTTCAATCTTCTTTTGGTTTGTCATGCATTAAGGCAAAGGGGAATGTTCCAAATGTGGCGTATCACTCGGCAGCCTTTTACAAGAAAGAGCTGTTTGTCTTCGGTGGAGTTCAGCCGAGCCATTCTTCCATGGATAAATCCTGCAGCAATGTTCTGTACATCTTTAACCCCGAGTTTGAACTCTGGTACCAGCCGATTGTGGATGGGGACATACCTCTGCCTCGGTTTGGGTCAGTATCCTTTTTTTTTTTTTTAAAAACACTATTCGCTGTCCTCCTCAAATGCTGTTTCTTAGTATATTGATCCCATGCTTATTTTTGTATCAAACAGGCACTCGGCTACACTGCTGTCAAATAAGTTGATCATATTTGGTGGACGGAAGACTGCTACCTACCTTAACGATCTCCATGTTCTAGATCTGGGTAAGATGAAGATTTGGTGGCTCTGTTAGGGCAACATTTCTTGTTCAGAAACTGATAAAAATGTGTATTCTGTTTTTTAAATGAAGGCCTCATGGAGTACACAGCTGTGAAGAGTGGGAATATGCCACCACTGCCCCGAGGGTGAGTGCAGGACAAATCAAACTTGAGAGCTGTCATCAAAGTAGCCATCTGGTTTTTAAGCAGAACTCGTTTGAACTTGATGTCTTTTTTACACAAGATATAATCAATGATAAAATACCATCTTTCTGCATTCTATTAGATTTATTTTTGGCTCAATATGAATACTAACAGTAATAGTTTACATTTTGTTTAGAAACTGCCACTGGCTAAGGAACCATTATGCTTCACACACAAATAGTCCTTGCCTTTACATGAACAGGTTTCATGCAGCTCTACCAGTTTCAGACGACAGGATTTTAGTCAGTGGAGGTTGCAGTGCAATTGGAGCTCTGCAGGATGTCCATATCTTCAACACTAGTGAGTTTGTGTCCCTTCCATCTCATCATATTATCATAATGTAAAAAAAAGTTGGTGTTGTGTCCTTTACTTTAAGTCACACTTATTTAAGGTTTCACAAATAAACTGCTTTGATTTCTCCTCAGAGACCAACATGTGGAGCTCAGTGGCGTCTCCCCTGCTGTGCTCCAAGCCTCGTGCAGGACACAGCATGATAACGTTGGGCTGCTCCATCCTGACATACGCAGGGAACAAGGAAAATTGCAGGGTCTACTGCAGAGTGCTCGTGTTCGGTGGATCAGATTGCTCCGGTACTTTCTACAAGGACACAGTCAAGTGCACAGTGGAGATCCCTGGGGACAAGTGATGGGAAGAAACCCATTCGGGACAATTGTGTTTTTTTTTAAAAATGGTAGAGGATGCTGTGGTCTGCCATGACAGAAATAAGTGTTTGTATCTATATGTTTTTCTATTTGGTTGTTTGTCTTTACTTCATATAATTGTAGCATGATGTGTCTTTTTAAAAACATACATACCTCTTCCAGTCAATACTCTCGAAGCAGTAAGCTTAGAGGTTTTGAACTTTGAATAACAAATATCTCTGCTCTGCATGTTTTGTACATTACTTCATGTCCTGTAACTTGTCTCCACATATCAATATGTATTTGAGGGTAAACTGATACAATCAAAATGTACATGAAATGCCAATAAATATTTTTTTAACTCAAAGTTGTCTTGTCTTCTAATCTAAAAGTAACACCAAAGAAAATGTGATTATTTCCAAAGCATTTTTATTTTTTACAAATGACTATTACAAAGTTGTTTTAAGCTGCTGAGTTGTTCTATGCTCGCAGGTCCTCGGGTGTGTCCGGCTGGCAGGACGGGTCGCTCACTCTGAAAGCTTCAATCTCACGTAAGGTTTCATTCAACCTTTTGATAGTTGGATACTGCTCGACATCCACTTTGAACCTGTAGAGATTAAAGACAGATGGGGTCATGCTTCTATGTAGCCTGTTTAATGTTGAGCAAAGCAACTAATGGCACGTACAAAAAAGTGATGAAAATCAAATATATATAGTAATGATCCCTTTTTTTTTGTATTGCCTTTTTGTTGCAATGAAATTCATGTTGATTACTAATTGTTCAGGGAGACTGAGTGTTAATCTGGTATTTATGTATCAGTTTTAATGACATTTCTGATCACCTACCTCTCTGCATTGTAGACCTGTGGGACCAGACAGATGTCTGCCATGGATATCTGAAAGGTAAACAATAAGTCTTTATCACACTGCTGTAAAGCTTCAATATGTTTTCAGAATGAAATGATATAAGATTATATAGAAAGATACACATTGCAGGAACAGAAGGAAAACCAACCGGGCTTATTTCAAGCCTCTGTCAGGTTATAGGTAACAGGATTAATATAAGTCAAATAGTATTGCAAACTATTCAAATATGTATACAACAACAATCATAATACATATACATTTGATCAATCAAAAATAAATTAGTTGTGCCTCTTACCTCGTCACCGACACAATATTTTCCTGCGGTTTGCTTCAGAAGGGGCTCAAGAGCTGAAACAGATGTTCATATTGCAAATGAAAATTGATGAATCTTAGAATAAGGTGCTTATGTATTTTTTAGAAGATGGGCCTCTACCTACCTTGAAAGCCTCGATCAATGAAGTGCTGGGCCCACTGCACCTTTTCTGTTCCCATCTTCTGAATCACGTGCAAATTCTGAAAATGTACAGACATTCATTATTAAGTAACATGTGTTGTTGTGACCTTTATAGAAAATGTCACACCTGAACTTGCAGCTCAATAAGTGTTTGAACTTTCTGCTTTAGTCTGACTATACCCTAATTTGTCTTCTCACCTGCAGAGGCTGAATACCAGAGGCAATGATGTCACTTATCATCCGGACCTGGGCACGTTTCTTTGGGTCTGCAGGGAGAAGTGGAGGCCCTGGCCTGGTCTCATCAATGTACTGGATCACTGCCAGCTGTGTGGGCAAGAAACCATTATCAGTCATTTTCAAGTTGGTTAAATAACATGTGTTTTACAGGATTACATACTGTAGGTAAAGCATTTGGGGACTCACTGACTGAGAAAGGGTGATGCCATCAATTTCAACTGCAGGCACTTGTTGCATGGGGTTTAATGTCTTGTACTGTTCAGTATGCTTGAGCAAATGACGAAATTTGGTTAGACTAAAAACGTTAATTGTCACAAACAATATATTATTTCTGCATTGAGGTTTATCGTGTGTGTAAACTGTACCTGCTGACCCCCATCTTTGATCAGATGGATTGGAACCTGGTCATATTCAATGCCTTTTAGAGCAAAAGCTGATGCACAAATAATAAATGATTACATTGTTGAATTGAAAATGCGTCAAGTTACAGATACATTGTCAGATTCCTTGACATAACTTACCAATGCGAACCCTCCAGGAGCAGGAACTTCTGAAGTATCCATGAAGAACAGGCTACAAACAAAACAAAACAGAAACTTTAGTCTATTTGGAAATCACATTACATAGTTACCGTTTCTTGTGTCTCCTGGTTCACCTTGTCTTGAGTTGCCATAGCTATCTTCCTCGAGTTTTAACTAAACTATACTGAATCCACTACTGCAGTTTTTCTACAGTTTAACATCATCCTCCAGTAGCCAATGGGATGTGCTCCTAAAATCCCTCCTACCTACTCTTTGGCCCATGACTAAGCAACATCTGGCCTTCATTTGGTGCACACACACTTAGCAAACAGCTAACAGTGGAATAACAGTAGGCTACCTTGGCGAGGCAAACTAAGGACAAGTGCATTGTTGTGGCTGTGGTAACTTTATCGCATTAATGGTCAGGATAAGCTGTGCTGCTTAGACGTCGATGATGTCCTTCACATTTAACAGAACAGTCCCTCTTCCAGTCTCTTACGTTCACTAATAACATGTCATGACATTCAACATTGTTCGGGTAAGAGGCAAATCTCTGTCGCTCTCAGTCTGACTCAAGTAGCTTTCCTGAGTTTTAGCAGCACTGTGGGGGTACAGTTCAACTCCCGGTTGCGTAACTAACGTGAATGCGTTTTATCCAATGAAAAGTCGAGTTTCAGAGTTGAGGCGGGATTATATAATTCCTCATCTAGCGATTTGATAGAACGCACCCACAGTTGACCAATCAGACTTCCACTATTCGTGGAAGTGCGACCATGGAGCGAATGGCAAACTTGGATTTTGTAAAAGCCCGCCCACTGGTAATACATGTCAGTGAGGGAGATAGCTGTATGTTCCTACCTGCGGAGTTGGACCAAACAAGTTCGTAGTAACATGTCCATTATGGCGACCACCGCATTAAGATCAGCGCTAAAGGTAAGATATCAAAGTATTTTATGGTTTATTTCTCCCCTCAGTTGCAAATAACGCAGGCAGGTTTGACAGCTCACTTTGTTTACAGTACAGTAAGTCATGTGCTGCAGGATTTAGGTCTGGGTTGCTTTAGGCATTTGTTTCACAGATGAACTTCTCTTTAGAGGATATTCTATTTTTTTAATTTGATAATGCATCAACTTTAATGAGATGATTTATAGTATGAAGCAAGTGGCTTACTATTCTGTGTTGACATTTGATTTCACTCTACTTCCATAAACTTGACTTTGTCCTCAAGCCATTTCTGTCTCCACACACATAGGCCTAGTTGCTCATTAATCTTGTGAGCCTCCAGTCTGCAAACACAGTCTAAAAGTCTGCAACTGGAAGGAGCTGGTTATGTGTATTAAACGTTATACAAAGTATGTAGCCAAACCTAGGATTATTGTTTTTAGACAGGTGGATGATATTCATTGCATCTGTAAATTCAGACGTCCTACTGTGTTTCTTTCTCAGGTCCCACTTCAAGTTGGCCGCATGTGCTACTCCTCAGTGGTGAGTTGAGAACAGCTTACACTTAATTGTCAGGCTGCAATTACACTTTACATCAAATCTCATACATTGATCATTAACCTGCTATCTTTAAGGGCAACTATACATGATGTTACATCCCTCCCCACAGCCAACCACCAAGCTATTCATTGATGGGAAGTTTGTTGAATCCAAAACCTCAGAATGGCTGGATATACACAATCCTGTAAGTATTCCACCTGTCCTGGATCAAGAAACTGTACTGTACATCGTTATGCTAAACTGTGGTTTGGTAGCTCAAACATGGTTTAAACAGCTAAATCTATGGAGTTGCTTAATCTCACGTGTTAGATGATGTCCTTGCCTGTTGGTATAAACTGGTTTTAGAAGTTGAGCATCCTCCAATAACTTTTAGAAAAATTTGCAAATGTGTATTTGGCCTATCTATTAAAGCACATTCCCATTATCTTTCATTACGTATTAACACATCAAAATTAATTTAGAATTATGAAAAAAACATGTAACAAAAAACTGTTTGTCATAGGGGAATATTTATTACATTTCAGCAACACTTGGATTACAAGTCATCACCTAAAAATCCTAAATGTTTTCTTAAGGGTTGAATGGGGACCTGCAAGTGTAGGAAAGCTCGCATATCTAAGTTAAACATATGCTAGGATTGACCTGTTACCTAATGTGAATGAACTCCAACATTCCCTGCAGGTTGAAAAAAGTAATCTTTAGAATAATAACCTACATTTACACGTTCCTTTTTTGTCTCCTCTGCAGGCTACCAACGAGGTGATCACCCGAGTACCCAAAGCCACCCAGGAGGAGATGTTGGCTGCCGTGGACTCTTGCTCCAGAGCTTATCGCTCCTGGTCTGAGACCTCCATCTTGGCCCGGCAGCAGGTCTTTCTGCGCTATCAGCAGATTATCAAGGACAACATTGTAAGTCAGAGGGTATAAGGTGCAATTGGAAACAAGACATTACCATTTAGGACTGTTCAACTTGAAGTTTAAATTCACTACTTTTTGCAAATGAGCTTTTTGAACATTTCCACATTAGTTCAGAGCCTGCTGTTTAAACTGTATAATAAAACTGTAGTTCAGATAACATCTAAGAAAAGGAATAAGAAGGGCCCAAACTTTTGTTTCAGAAAGAACTTGCCAAGTCGATCACACTGGAACAGGGCAAGACCCTTGCAGATGCAGAGGGGGATGTGTTCAGAGGATTGCGTAAGCTTATCTCACTCACTCACACACGGACACACACGTGCACATATTGCACCTTTACAAAGGGCAACAAATATGTAAGCGTTTAAGCCATGCTACATTTTAGGCAGGCTTTCAGTTTGTGGTTGCAGGAGTAGTTAATAAGTGATACTAAACCAGAACAAAGGGCAGTTTCTTTCTGAAGCCTTTGAATGATTGCCACAAGTGATTGCTGGTTATTAATGTGGGATTAATATGGAATTATTTATTTGACTGTTGAAATATATCTGATTCAGCTTTCACTCATTTCACCAGAACAATATATTCTACATTGAGGAAGCCTAATCTCTTATTAAATCATTTTCAGAAATAGTTTTTTAAACATTGTCTGGACTTCCACACAGTCAACACACTCGATACTTGTCTCAGTAAAGCAGATCATTTACACTCACGCACGCAGTTTGTATGCTACAAATAAATCTGTTTACTGTTTTTGCAGAGGTTGTGGAGCACGCCTGCAGCATAACCTCTCTGATGCTCGGTGAGACCCTGCCCTCCATCACCAAAGACATGGACACCTACACTTACCGCCTGCCTATCGGGGTGTGTGCTGGCATTGCACCCTTCAACTTCCCCGCCATGATCCCTCTCTGGATGTTCCCTATGGGCATGGTGTCTGGCAACACCTACCTGCTGAAGCCGTCCGAGCGGGTGCCGGGCTGCGCCATGCTGCTGGCCAAGATGATGCAGGATGCCGGAGCTCCGGACGGGACACTCAACCTCATCCACGGCCAACACGACGGTGAGAGTTGGTCTCTGTTACCTTTAGTTACTGTCAGAACATATTGTATAGGGCAGATGATTAAGGCCACATTTACTAAATATGTGACATCTTGACATTTTCACTTGGAAACATGATATACATAATCTCTGTCTGAAACTTCAGTCTATTAAGCATCAGAGGTAATGATGGTACAGAGACACAATGACCTTTGACCCCTCTGACGTTTAGCAAATCCGGACAAATCAATTTCCTTATTGAAAATATGGCTAATTACTGGTTATTTGTTAATCTACGACTAAACAGAAAGCTTCTGATGAGTTTATATTGAAACATTCTATTATTTACCATTTTATGCATGGCAAAAATGTTTTTGTTGCTTTTTCTCTTTAATCTTAGTTTTTCCACAGAAAATAAATCTGTTGAGATTTTGATCGACAGTGCCTTTTTATTATTATTTATTGATCCTTCAATAAATACAATTTTTCTTCTTTTGTCATATACTCTGTAATGCACATACACACTTTTAAATATCACTTATTAATCACTGTCGTTATTAAATAGATATCTCAGTTATAACAGCAGTTGTCTTTCTTTCACAGCTGTGAATTTCATCTGCGACCATCCGGCCATCAAGGCAATCAGCTTTGTTGGCTCCAATCAAGCGGGGGAGTACATTTATGAGAGGGGCTCTAAAAATGGCAAGAGGGTCCAGTCCAACATGGTGAGTATCAAACGAGAGTCCAACACATACTGTGAATGTCCAGCAGGTGGCAGCATTGGCCAACAGATGATCATTTTGTGTTCCTCCTCTCTATCAGCTGTACAGATGAGACTCCAGCTGTGCATCTACTTCAAGAGCCACAATTATAAATGTTCCATCTATTTATGTCAGTCAACTGAATCTATTTTATAGACTGAAATGTCGAACACATTTACTATACAGCATTTCCGTGTTTGTACATCATTTCCTAATTTTCCTAATATTATGTTCTGATTTGTGACTAGCCAGCTGCTGTAAAGAGATTAAACAGCAGCTGGCTAACCACTTGTCTTGTACTGTAGGGAGCCAAGAACCATGGTGTGGTGATGCCTGACGCCAACAAGGAGAACACTCTGAACCAGCTGGTTGGTGCAGCGTTCGGGGCAGCGGGGCAGCGCTGCATGGCTCTGTCCACGGCCATCCTGGTGGGCGAGGCCCGCAGCTGGCTGCCGGAGCTGGTGGAGCGCTCTAAGGCTCTGCGCGTGAACGCAGGTACTGCACCCCATCACCCGATCTTCATCTGTCTATCCTGAGCCATTGTTCCCCCCCTAGGGCCTTCGGTTTAGTCAATTAGGGGCCACCCACGCTGCCTTAACCACACCTCTCGCCTTTTGCCGTGTTGTAACTTCACATTGGAGTCAGCTGGGAGCGAGAGCTCATTTAGTCAGCCCTGCTGCAAATGTGTGGCCAGATCTGCGGCCAAGACCTAAATAGCGGTTCAGAGCATCAAGTCCCTTCGAGAGAAGGAAATTGATACGGATTCTTATTTTTGTAGTACACAGGAAACCCTTAAGTATCAATTTTTGAGGGAGTGCCTCAGGGCGCCCCTCGTCTTGGTTTTGCGTGTTTGTAGCAAAAGACATATTTGAATGTCAGCGTTAACTTATGTGCTCACATCATACAAATGCCATGGTATGAAACCTTATAGTTGGTTGTTTATGGGGCCCCGCTAGGAGACCAGCCTGGGGCAGACGTGGGGCCTATGATCTCTCCGCAGGCCAAGGAGAGAGTCTGCAGTCTGATCCAGAGCGGTGTGGACGAGGGAGCCCAGCTGCTCCTGGACGGCCGAAACGTCAAGGTCAAGGGTTACGAGAATGGCAATTTTGTGGGTCCCACCATCCTCGGCAATGTCACAGTACGTGGGTGTAATGTCTTAATGTGCACATTAGTACAAACCTCTTTAAACTGCCAGTAAAACCTGTTCTTCTGTGCTCTCCCAGCCTCAGATGAAGTGCTACACTGAAGAGATCTTCGGGCCTGTGTTGGTTGTTCTCGAAGCAGAGACTCTGGACGATGCCATCAACATGGTCAACAATAACCCCTATGGCAACGGCACAGCCATCTTCACCACAAATGGCGCCACTGCACGCAAATACACTCACGAGGTGGATGTGGGCCAGGTAAGTGGCTGCAGCCTCCAAATGTGTTCCTCTGTTTTGGGAGAAAGGAGACATTCACATCCCTCTGTCATGTCTATGCAGCATCTCCAGGGGAGAGCGCATCACATTTCTGTTTGAAAACCTTTACACACATTGAAAAAAAACTATTATTTTCCATGTCAAGTATAGCCTTGTTTGCCCCTAACCTAATACACACACATTCGGCATCCCCCTTCCCCACCGGTAAAGACTACAAATAGCTACAGCAAATATGTGTCCGTTAATAGAAGACAGGGGGACATAGAAACATTTTTCCAGGTAGTATCCAACGAGGGAAATCTTTAATTAAATCAAAAGGGATTCCTAGGTTGCTGTTCAACGACCAGGCATAAATATGGCCAGCCTTTACCCTGTTTGTTTGCCTGTGGAGCCTTAGTTATGCCCTGTGTTTGCTGTTCACATGTCGGGGAATGCTGCGCAGGCCGTGTGCCGTTCTCCGCTCCAAACCTCGATGCAACAAACAACTTTTTCTTTTTTTTACCCTGCACCTTCGCCAAAAGACAATAGTGCGTCCAGACCTATTCCCGCTGTTTTTAAACATTCTAAACAAACAATGCTGTGCCCCCCTTTTCCTTCATAACAAAATGTTTTTATTTAGTTTTTCTTCCCTTTCATGAGATGATGCTTTGCTTTCAGAACTGGGAATATAAGCCACAGCTTTAGCTTTGTTTATTGAGATCATGTTAGCTTGTTTTTTAAACGGCATGGATATACCGCATCTCTTTTCAGGCTGCATCTTACTCATACTAGCAATTTTAAATTGGGGGGAATTGTATAACAAAGCTTACACTTATAGAAATGATCGCGAAAACTCTTGTTTTCTGCAGGTTGGAGTCAACGTTCCCATCCCTGTCCCACTGCCTATGTTCTCCTTCACTGGATCAAGAGGATCCTTCAGAGGCGACATAAACTTCTATGGCAAACAAGTATGAAAACAACAATCCCATCCTATCGGTACAAGTTACATAAATGCACAACTGTGGCAGACTGAGTTTGGATGAAAACGTTTTTATTTTTTCTCGACAGGGCATCCAGTTCTACACACAGATCAAAACTGTCACCTCACAATGGAAAGCTGAAGATTCCACCTTGACAAGTCCTGCTGTTACCATGCCGACCATGGGACGCTAACTCCATCCATGAACCAGAATACCTAGACAGTAGACACTCTAATGTGTAGAAGTTTTAGTATTAAAAAGTTAAATAATAATCTCCTTTTTTTTTTTTAAATACTTTATCAGATATGTATATATAGATACTCTGTAAATGTTAACCATTGCAGCCAAGGTTTTAACAATGAAAATAATCTATACAGCTGAGGCCATGTCATTTCCTTAAATACAACACAGATATTAAAGCTTTGTAAACTAAATTAAACTTTAGTGTTATACCATAAATGAAGGTTGCCATGGACACAGCTTTGTATTCCTATGATTGTTTTTATCTGATGCACATTTCGGTATGAGCACTGTGTTTTGTCTTCTAAATGTGTTGTGACAGAATTCAAACACCCTCCATGTATGAACGAGTACTCACAGGCCATATATACATGCATGGTAAGATATTTATAATTAGCACAAACAAACAACTCCCATTGTACTACACACGATTGACACTCTGTGGGAAGCATGGACGCAAACAATCCAGAGTGTGATGTGCCATGTAGAGGCCACTCTGAGGTCATGTGGTGTGTATATCTGGCAGGGGGTTGGGGGGCAGAGCGGGCTCGGGCCCCTGGGTGATGAAGGTTGCTCGGGAGAGATCCTCTCTGATCCTGGAAGACAGTCATCGTTAAGTAAAGCTGAAGTGCATTTCTGATAAAATCACACGTAGGCACTCGTGTTCTCACAGCCAATGCTTTTTAAGCTAAACATGGAATGTGGCACCAATACACCTGCACAGGCTTTACAATTGCAAGTATGAGGTAAAGTTTTTATTCCCGTACATTCCTTTGGTGTCTTACCCGGCAGCATCGCTGGCAATAAGGCTCCTCTTCTCGGAGGAGGCAGACAAAGCCATATGTTGGATGTCTTTCCTATCGGGGAAATGCAGAGTTGCAGTTAAACACAGACCCTCAGTGAAAAAGTCATGTTTTAGCACACTGGTGTCTATTCAGTCAGGCCTGCAGCCCGTCTTGGAAACGGGGTTAGACTGGGTCAACACAATACACATTGACTTGGTCACCAAATGTTCTGTTATTCTGCAGGACTAGGTGCCAGACCACTGGTAACATGAATACACATCTTCTCTTGCCTGCCCTACCCCGATACATCCAGCTCCCCTGCACACTCCTTTCTGAAAATCATGTTACCAGCTGCTCGCTAACCACAAGCGCTCAAAGAACAAAATAAACAAGTGCACGTGAAGAGGGGCCAATAGGCTGAAAGCAAATGGACGTGAACAGATGTTTGTTTCCAAGCACACGACTCTGTGGCGGGGCCTATTTTTACTATTGTGACTCTTTCTTCATTCTTTTTAAGCAGCTGGATGGAAAAGAAAATTGGTCGAAGCCTAACTGATGTTTTATGGTATCCTCTTCTGCTGAGAATATGGCTGTTTAAAACATTAAAAAGAGGGCGGAGTCACCAGAAGTTCAGCCAGAGCTTCTGCTTGGTGTCACTGCGCTTTGTTCTTCTGAGGCAATTTATCCACAAGGCCATTTTCAGGGATTACAAGTGGATTATAGAATATTATTTAGGATCAAGTTAATGAGTGATAACCCGAGCGGAGCACGGATTTTGCCAAACATAATACAATTATTGGAGCGTTTTATTACCTTTCCCTCTGTCCATTCATTTTAGCAAAGAGAAGCCTGAGCACTTGTTCCTTCTGCTCCCAAGTGAGATCTGAGATTTCAACCTTGCTGTCTGGTTGATGGGTCCTTGAAAACAGGTGGATGACATTGACTTTAATTGAACAAAATGTATCATGTTGTTGTGAGATGACCACTGACAAACATCAGATGTTAAAAATATCACAAAGACACAGCTAGGTCACTGAAATGATGAGAAGGGGACCTACCACCTTGCAGCCGCCTCCAGGTCTGAATAGACAGAGTTGGTACTGTGAGGTCCTTTATGGAAGGTGCGGATGGGTGGGAACTTTAGCTTTCCTGCTGTGGCTTCTTTTAGCCTCTGGCGATAAGCCTGTAGTGCCTCCTTTTTGTATTGCTGCCTGCTGGCCATGATCTCCTGCTTCACCTGAGCCAGAGCCTCATGGAAGAACTGCTCCAGCTCTGTGCGCTGATCCACGATGGAGCTGGCCAGCCGCTTGACGTGCCCCAGCTCCCTCTCCCGCATGTGAAGCACTTTCTGCAGCTTATCTAGTTCTACCTGGCTGGCCTGAATGGTGACCAGAGCCTTCTCCTCCTCCTCCTCCTGTATCTCAGGTTCCTCAGCTTTAAGCTCGAGGGCATGCTCCAGTGAAGCCACCTTAGCCCTCAGCTTGGATATCTCCTTTTTTTGGGCCTCCATCTGAGCTGCGTTTCTCTTTACCGTCAACTCAAACACGTTCTGCATGAGTAGACAGAAGAGCAAAGTAGTGAAATGCATGAACACCAAGCTGACTTTCATTTCCATGCCAACATAGATCTTAAACAGATTATGGTTTGTGTGCTCGCCTGTGCTGTCATGAGTGGCCTAAGTTTCAGCATAGTGGATTTTGAAACCTTCATTTACTGTCATCATCGGGGGGGGGGGAGATTAATGTGCCCAATATTTATTTGTCTAAAGAAATCAGTGCCAGAAGCTTGCGAGGGAGAAGCCACTGAATTTGAACCCATACCCCAGTGGAAACTCGCCACAACCACTGACCACCGAGAGGCTGGGTAGTAGTCAGAAGGTGGGGTGGGGGGGGGGTGGGAGACGGACCACAAGCAAAATACACAGGGTCAGCACAAGTAAACAACACGAGGGGAAAACCACCTGAAATATATTCTGCACAGGTCTGAATAGTGTTTCATAGCTGAAATGATTTTAAAATATGAGTTTATGGATATGAATGGCCTCTATCCAAGGACAGCCGGGGCTTAATAGTTACACAACTGTTTGCTATCCTTTGGTTCAAACATACCTTGTCCAGTTCCAGGGAGGCCTTTTCCTTAGCCGTTGAACGTGTCAAAGCGTGCAGGTCCTCTGCCTCCTTTATGTGATATTTCAGAGCTTCATTCAGACGGACGTTCTCCTTAAACACAGAGCGCGAGGCATCGTCCAACTGCCTATATAGATACAAACAGAAAAAGCCTTTGACAAATCTTTATTTCACGCCAAAAGATATTTCAATCAGAATCATAAACAGGTTTATTACCAGGTAGGCTAACACATACGAGGATTTTGACTTGGTGTTGTGGTGCATACATACAAATAAAACAACAGTTAAAAACACAGATCGAATACTATTTGAAGATAACTATATTAACATTAAACAAATATAGTAAAATATAGCAGTATTTACATTGAATATGACTGAAATCGTAGAAATAGAATTGGAATAAAATATGTGCAGTAATGGAAAAACGAAATAATTGTCCTGGTGTTAATATGAAGATTTTTAAACATGTTGCACATATTTGGTTCCTCTTCATAAACGTTGGTCAATGTACTTGACTTTTTAAGACAAGCTGGGTGTGTTCAAAATTAAATCAATTACTGACACTAAGACCAGAGCGGCAGCACCGCACCGCACCACACCAGTATCAATGTTGATGTTTTATGAGCTGTAAAAAATTGACTAAACATAGCGGAGGTGAAATGTACATCCTATGGCCTCAAAAGTAATAAACGCTGGGCTTCCCCACACACATTACACTCTCCTCTGGGATGGAGATGTGATCATTGGCTGCGGTGATGTACACTATCTGCACATGACCAACCGGTGTGGTCAAGGAAATAACATTAGTCCTAGTTATATATATATTTACACACATAAACACTTGTGTGAGTACATTTTTTTTTCTTTGAGTTCTGAGAACACGAAAGTGCAGTTTAAAGAATAAAATTAGATCGTGAGAGGGGAAGCGGAAACACACACTCACACAATGGCTTCATTGTGGGCCCTCTCCACCACCACAGCTATCGTTCGCTCTGCTTCCTTCTCCAGGCGATCCTGCGGGCAAGTTGGCAAACAAATCACTTCTTGTTCCACCTGGGATAACATCTTCTGTCATCTGTCCATGAACAGTGGGCCAGGTCTCCACAAATTATTTTTAAACCACTTTTGTTTCACTGTTTTTTCCAAATCGATCAGAGTAGGATCATTAGACTCGACCCACCTTTTCTTTGAAGAATCTGCACTCCACTTTGTTTAGGTTTTCCCTGTGCTTCTTGTCAGAAAGATCCATGCTTTCTCTAATCTAAAAAAAGAAATGTTTTATTGTTATTAGTAGCATTAACAAATGGAACAACTGCTTTGAATAGAAAAGTCTATAAAGTGTTTTTCCTCACATCACTGAGCTCCTGCTCCATCTGTGCTTTCCTCTTCTCAAACTCCTTAATTGTCTTCATCCCATCTTGGATCATGTTAAAGTCACTGGACTTCTTTCTGAACAGTTCCTTCATCTCATTGATTTGCCTCGTGTAATCATCAACCTGTTAGAAACAATCATATAGATTCATTATAGCAACAGTATTAAATGCATGCCTTAACCCTCAAAATGCAGCTGCTCATCTAAATACTAAACAGTGTGTTACGGAAGTTTGTGAAAGATGAGACATGGGTGCATTTGATGAGGGGTCCTTCCGCTAGAACATATTTCAATGAAAAATGTGTGATTTTAACATCATTTTTGTCAATTACTATTGTCATATCTGTGCACAGTTAAAAGAAAAAGCTGGATAATAAATCAACAACACCCGAAAAGCATAAACCAAAACTTGATAAGATCTGCACTTTTGAACAACTGAAACTTTACATCTGTGAAAAGTCATTTTGTGAATTAAGATGCGCTCCACCTCGTTTTAACATTTACTTGGTGGTGACCAAGCTGGATGGGTGTTACAACTAAGCCTTTTAACTGTGAGGAAAACCCAGCTAGTGCTTCAGTAAGATTCCCATAAGTGCAGTTTGAATCGGTAAGGAAAGAAAATACTTTCATACCAGAGTTCACACAGGCCATACCCATTTGCCAACCAACTTAAGCACAGACCAGTCAAGCTGAATACCTCAAGATGCTACTGTGGAAAAGCCAGTCTGAAGAAAAATGTGACAAAATGA